CTGGGCCGGGTTCGGGCCCAGCCGGGTTCGGGCGCGAAGCCCATTTGGACACCTCTATGCCAACCCCACTCCAACTTTAGGAACTTTTGTAGAATTAACCCTAAAAAAGTATCTATAACGTACTCTTATCGAAAATTTGATAACATTGAGATTCTTTTCGTCTCCCTGTCTTAGAATGTGTCAGTCAGCTAAATCCTACTTACATTAATTACGGCCGGATTCAATATTGGTAGAGCCAGTTGTAATTTTTTCGGCGCATGCATGCATTTGAAAAAAAAAATCTAGTTTCAAATAATTTTGCTGCTTCATTTACCTTGTTAACTACTGTAGTCTCTCTGTCATTGTCATATATTTTAGCAAGAAAACTCCCTTCAACTTTAGGAAAATTAGATAAAAGCCAAAATGGAAAATATCCTCCTTACAGTACTAAAATAAGCTTCCTTACTTTCTTTCAGCTATGTGCAGCAGCTATCCAAAAGCATGCACATTGAATATAAAAGCGAAGGGGTCCATTTACAGTGTCAGGTATTAATGTGCTTGAATTGTTTAAGCAATTTTCCTTTTTTTTTTTTGTTCCCCCTTTATTCTCTAACATTGAATCAAAATAGCGCTGCCAACAGAATAATTAATTTCTGATTAAGATATTTTTTTTTTCAAGGACGTGTTTGATAACCAAAAAGTAAATGGAAAGTACATTGAAAGTTAGAAAGTGATTACACTTCTCATTTTTATCATGTCTGGCATTTTGTAAGTGAATGAAAAGTGATTGTAAAGTAAAGAGTGTCCACTGTCCGGTCAACATTTTAGTCCATTTAACTTTCTTCAAAAATTGAAGAAAGTGGATGGAAAATGAAGAGAGAGGAGAGAGAAAAAACATTTTTAGATTTTTTATGTATTATTTCAGTTTTACTTATTCAAATTTCTATTATTAGTTTCAGCAATGACCAAACATAGCAAGAATAAAATGAGTGCCACATCATTTGCCAGCTTTTCTTCTTTTACTTTCTAACATCCAAATGAGATTTTGTGAAATAAAAAGTAATAAGAAAGAACCTTCATGAGAAAGTACTCTCTCTTTTTTCCACTTCCTGAAGTAATTTGGATCATCTTCACTACAAAAATAATAGTAAAGAAACCACTACCTTTAATTATAATCGTTACACTTATCTAGTGGATGATTGTGATATATTTTAAACCTAATACCCACTGTAACCCCGTGTATTGCACTCATCCCTAATTTGCACTAAAGGAGGAAAAATCATAACCATCCACTAAATAACCAATAATTATAATTAAGTAATGTCCCTTTACTATTTTTCTGATAGTGAAGAGGATCCAAATCCTATTTAAATGGTCATTAAAAAGGAAAACTACTCTATTTGTATGTTCTATTAGTAAGAAACTAAAGTTGTCCTGCTTATGCACTTTCTCTTTTGCTATATATAGCTTATAATTTGCTCCAACACAGAAAAATCATCTCAACACCTATTTTCAGGAGTTTTTCTTTGTTAGGCAACAATGAAATTTTAACCCAAGAGGGTCTAGCCGAGTTGTTAAAGTGCCTATGAATAGTACTCCAAGGTCTTAGATTCGAATCTCCTAGGGAGCACCCACAGGAATTTAAATACTTGGAATACCTAAAGCAATGTGTTGGGGTTTACCTTTTAGCCATGCCCGGAGGTTTGATACCCATGATCCGAAGGATCGTGAGGAAGTTCCCTCGTCAAACTAAAAAAAAAAAAAGAGATTGTAAAGTTTTTAGGACACTGCGGACTTAAATTTCAGGGTATCAAAATTAAAAAAAAAGCGGTGAAACTCCCGGTTATTAAAGTTAATTTAACCCAATAAAAATGGACGGCGTTTTAGATATTAATAAAGTGAAAATTAACTTTTTATTGTCTCTGCAGGCACCCTTGTATGTACATACAAGAATGGCAGCAAGAGCCAAGGGATACTACTTCTTCAAGCCATCACCAGAGTCATACGCAAAGGCTGCGGTTCACTGGATTGGATATGACTCGGTCTGTGTCCCGTACTTCCCCCATTTCTTACAGTGGTGTTTGGTTAACATGCTGCCAGACTTCATCAACGATTACATGTGTTTGACCACAAACATGGGCTTCTTGAAGAAATCTACATAGATTTTGTGCTTTTAAATGCATTATTTTCATTCGATATCGATATGTAATAGAATTAGGCTTGGAAATGAACCGAATACGAATTGAATATTGAGATATATATTTGTATTTGTATTCATTTAAACTTTTCGGATTCGAACATGAAATCCAATATCGTCGTCTTATTTTCTTCATATTAGAATTAGAATTCGAATACCGGTATTTGCAGAATATTCATGAATACTTATCAAATATTAAATTATATTTGTTGGATTAATAATTTATGTTTCATAAATATTAAACAATTGAACTAATTAGGTCCTTTTATTTGATTAAAGCAATATTTTCATTGTTCTAAGAATTTGATATTTTATATAACATTTAGATTCATAGTTGAAATTCAATCATATCTATGATACCTAAATATGTAGTGTGAATATTTGGTTAAAAAATGGATTTAGGACTTGTCAATCCTTTCAAAATTAGTGTACAGCTAAAGTAAAAAATGTAGGAGTGCCAGGACCATAACATCACACTGTGTAAATAATACAAGTTATAAGTAAACAAATTATTATCGGATAGTTTATTAAACAAATAAATCGAATATACTGATGTTTATATTCTATTTGTTTATGAACCAAATGCTAAAACATATTCATTTTATTGTTAAATGAACTATCAAATCGAATATGACCGAATGTTTAAGTGAATAAATACCAAAGTGTTTGTCAAATATTAATTTGGTTCGTTTTTCACCCCTAATGAGAATTTTTAGCTAGTGTTATACTGTTATACAACAGCTGCATGCATTAGATTTAGAACCCTTTTATTTTTATGTGGTTTTAAAGTTTTTACAAATAAAGTTCATGTTTACTGGACTCTAATTATCTGAGTTATCATTCTTGAAAAAGTGTCAAAGATCCGATTCACTATCTGATAACTCCAAGTTACATTGAGAGTTGAAAATTAATTTTTTATATTTTAACTAGTTTCAAACCAGTTTGATGCACGGACTTATTTATAAACCTATTTTTTTATCTTCAAAATAGTCAAATGTTACCATTTTTAAAAATTTATGTACCGAAAAGGAAAAAAAAGAAAAATAACAATTGTTAACGTTTAACAAAACCAAAATAATACTAAATTGATCGTTCATTATGCATTGTGCAAGTCAGAGATAATGTCACCTAAAACCCATATGTGTTTCAATTTTAACAAATCAAATGGTAAAACTTGTACTCTCACAAATGTGTAATATTATAGCATGATGCACCCCCAAATGATTAGCAGGAACACACATATCAACTACATAGATATGTCCATTCAAGTATAGAAATGCATGAAACACATTTGCTATCACTAGTAGAAAAACACGCAACCTAAACGGAAAAAACCGTCTATGTTGTTTAGATTTCCGTCTAGGTTGATCAATCTAGATGGAAATCTGTCTAGAAAAATCCGTCTAGTTTGAGACAAACTAGAAAGAAATCTGTCTCAATCTAGACGAAAAGCAACCTAGGCGGATGATGAAATTCCGTTTAGGTAGCAACCTAGACGGAATTTCCGTCGAGGTTGCTATAATTATCTGTCTAGTTAGCAACCTAGACAGAAATTCTGTCTAGGTTGCTACCTAGACGGAAATTCCATCTAGATTGTTCTTTTTTCCGTAAAATAAATTCTTTTTAAAACGTTAATTCCATGTACATTATATTACATTCACGATATACACATGAATACATGATTCCTGTATATTTAATATATACATCCAATCAAATATAATCAATATTCATATCCAATACACGCATCTAACAATCCAATCCAAATTACACATCCAACAATCTAGTCCAATATACACATCCAACAATCTACGACAATATCCATTTCAGTAAAAACTTATATTATCTGAATATTTATAACATACACACTAGCAATACCAAGTCCATCCATAACACGAGATGAATAACATAGAGTACACGACATGAATAAAAGTAGAGTACTATTACAAATAAAAATCTGTTCATTGCATTAAAAATACAAAAACCTCACATCTCGTCATCGTCGACACCGTCTCTATCCCTCGTATGAAAACGGGTGCTGCTCCCTCCAATGTCTCCACTCTGAAGGTCCAATTGATTATATTTTAGAATTATGTGAAGTTTGATAATCTATTAAACAAAAATGATTTTTTTAATATACTAGTCCCTTAAATAATCAATTTAGCATTAGTTTTTTAGGATTTACAACAATTAGTTTTTTTGGGACTTACTTAATATGTGAGGAAAAATAAGATACATGTGCGCTGCTCTGCCAAAAACCAGTATTACCAGCACCCAAGTTTATAAGCAGTATGATATCACCAAACAGATCAGAAGGAATCACACTGGCCAAACAATTTATAATGTAGGACATGACATCGTCCATCATACAGGCCCTCAACACAACATTACTCATCTCCTTAGTCACCCGAACATGCAGGTTTGAGTCAATCTTTCCACGCAAATACGTGGAGACGCGTAAAACAAGTGGCATAGCCTACAAATTGCCTGGTGTTGCTCTCATTGCTGTAGATGACATGTAGGATGTTGTGAATGATCTTATGATTACGCCCGGTGAAGCTCCAACACCATGCAGAGGATATCTTCATCTCCTATTATTAGGGTGGAAATGTGTTGATGGTGGTTAATCAAATAGTCAAGTTTATCCGTAATAGGATGGGGTTGCTGAGTATTAATGAGGGTCCGCTTTCTTCCACGATTTTATGTCTAACTCTGAGTAGGGTGGTTGAGAAATCTTCACATGTAGAAATATGTAAGAGGACGGGGACTGGTTTCCCTGTGGTTCCTCCGACGGTCAAGTTAGCTGGTAAACTTGAGTGGGGAAAGATGAAGAACTGTGATAGATCTTGTATGTGTGTAGTATAATTTGTAGATATAGATTATTCGAAAAATTCTAGATCCTCTCCAAGTTGGAATAATACCTTTATTTATACCTGGGGTACAAGGGTAGATCGATCACTTCGGTCGAGCACAAGAAGGTGGTGGTGAAGTGTGGTGCTGGCTGCTGAGTCATAACCTACTTTACAAGTGTCGGGTGGTGACTGGGGGAGTGATCAGCTCAGCATTAAATGGGAAGTGATCGGAGGTATAGCGGTGCATATGTGGTCCGATGAGTCATGAAGACTATCGGGGATAGAGACATGATGATGTCTACCATGCATTAAATGTGATGCTCACACGTTGTCAGGGAGGAACTTCAAGACAGAAGTTGTCCTTTAGCTTCATCGAGAAGTAATGCCTTTTGAGTCATCATCGTAAGACGTTGAGTAAATAGTCGAGTGTGCTCGTAGCGAGTCGTCTTTAACAAAAGGGTCGACTTGTACCGCCTTTCGAGCTGACATTAAGGAATGTCGACTCAATGAGTCGGCTAAGTCAGAATTCTCACTGGGTTTGGGCCGCCAATCTGATTGGGGCTTTGCATGTAGAGGTAAACCTGTCTATTGCTTGGAAATGAGTTGCACTTTGGTGAATGGGAACACCATAATAGTTAGCCCCTTTTGCTTGGAGTCGGCTTAAGTCGGGTCTGAGTGAAAATAAAATTATCTTTGGACGGACATGGGTGTGTACTGGATGAGAAACTAAAAAGTCTCTTTAGATTAGATGTGGCTGACGTCACCATACATCCCTTTTACTGCCACAACTCCTCTTTTCTTGGTAGATTGCGGACTATTCGAGGTGAGGGGGCTGCGCCTCGATCTCTGAGAGGATGCTTTGGATTCTAAGAATTAATCCTGACCGTTAGACTAGGCTTGGCCTGGCTATTCAAATTCCGACAGTTGTAAAGTCAGTTGTATATATATAGAAATAGGGGCATAAGGGTGGCGGTTATTGTCTTTTCGAATTCCTTCTCAGAGAACTCAAAACCTTCTTCATTCATCTCTTTCGGTGATCTTTTAATCTTCAATGGCGTCCACTCCTGTTGATCGTCATGCTCTTTTGGCAGAGACCCATTCCAAGGTGACCCTGGCGTAGAAGAGGACGATGCATATGAGGTTTGATATCCTTGAGGAATATGATTTGTTCACCCTGACAAGATCGGAGACCATATATGATCATGGGCCGGAGCGAGGTCCACTCTACTTGAGACATATGGAGTTTGGCATGCGGTTGCCCTTACATCCTTTCCGCAAGAAAAAATTTGTGGAGCTAGGGGTATCTCCGGTGCAGATGAAGTCGAACACCATCGCTCTCCTTGTGGGGTTCGTGGTGATCTGCCATCGGCTGGGTATAAGGTCATCCTTGTGGGTCTTGGGCCGATTGGTGGTGGTAAAGGTAAACTAAAATGAGCCCCACTTCCACTTCTAAATGATGGGGAAGTTCAATCTTATCAATGGCCTACCCGATTCGCATAAGGACTGGAAGGAGAGGTTCTTCTGGATCGTGGGGGACGACCTGAAGTTAGGTTGCTTCGACTGGCCCGAGATAAGGAGGGAGGCATTCATAGGGGTGAGCTGTCTATTAACGAGAAGGATGTGCTTGACCAGATCAAGGCATATACTGGCTCTCGTCCATACGACCATCTGCTCGACAAGTTGGTCTTGTGAGTGGTCGGTGTGTTGGTCATGCTTGCTACCGCCTAGGACCATGAGAGAGCTTCGACCCTCATCATAGGGGCAGTGGAAGAGGCGCTGACGCCTACTGTTTCTTTGGGTGCTCCTCAGGAGGAGTCATCTACCAGGCCTGCGAAGCATCTTCATCGGGACATTCCTCTAATAGAGACCAAGATGGCTGAAGAGGCCGAAGAGGAACCGCTCCATCCCTCGTCCATAGACAAAGGAAGCGAAGGGATGTGGAACAGGTATTCAAGCAGCGGCCGAGATGGCCGAGGAGGAGTTTGTTCTCACTCTTGCCTGTAGATGGAGGAGGCAGACTCGAGGGGAAGATGAGGAATAGGAAGTACATGCGGAGGCTGAGATGGCTGGGGCCCAGCCTCGGGGGAACCAGGCGAGGCTCCTCAAGGAGAGGGAGCTGAGGGTAGAGCCTATGCCGACGAAGCAGGGTCATCCGGTCGTCACGACGAGTGGTCCCGTGCGGAAAGGAGCCAGCTGAGGAGGAGACGAAACCCTCCTTAGGGCTAGAATATCCCTTCTTCCATCGTACGGACAAGATCTGAGAAGAAGAATGGGAGAAGATGAGGT